AATTCCTTTTTGTTAGTGTTATCACCTCATCCTAACTTACAGCACTTTCACAATATTCTTAAAGGGCATTAATAAATATCAAGAAAAAGCAGACAAAGCTCTGTATTCCAGTATGGTTGACACTTCTTTTAAGGGTTTATTTTCATGGACTAAAGAACTGACAACCCATATCCAAAAGAGAGCCCAGGTGTAGTTAGGTGTACTTCTCTTCTGGAAAAGTCCTTACTGACTTCACTGATAGAGGTAAATAGGATGAGGATGTAAACTGATTTTATTTTAAATTCAGTGCAAATTTTGCCCTGATCTCCATCAGAGTTGTCAAGCCCTCAAAATTTATCCTCTTCCAGTAAGATAATCACAGATTCCATAAACATCATTTAAAAGATTCACCTAGAAAGATTTGAATCTAGAAAATTAAGTGGCTTAAAGTAGAGAGAAAGAAAACATTTTATGCAATTAACATATTCCAGGCATTGTAACAAAGTTTTGATCCTTTAACTTCTACTACTAAAGACCTAAAGTCCCTCACTGATTCTCAGATGGCTGAAATTAGTAACTGGATTTAGAAAGTAATTAAAAGTTCTATTTGTTAGGGAGTTTGGGTCATCTACAGAAATGAGGTGGAAGTTTCCTTGACTAAAGAGAAAAAAACAAGAGATATTAAAAGGATGTAACTTGAATTTATATTGTGGACTAAGAGCATTCTAGAAGGAGGTTCACCCGTGCTGGGATGAGATGGAAGGAATCCTAACACTGCTTTATGAAGAATCATTCACTTTACTCAAGGCTGAAGGGTGATCTGAATTTTACACAAATTCCTGTAATTATTTTAGCATTTAAATATGTGTAAGATAAAAACTTTATATGTGACATGAAATTATACCACATTCAGAGAGTCTATTTAGGTATGTTTAGGCATTTCTACAATTGCCAAACTGTGTTTTCTAAATGAAGCCGTTTAACTTACTGGGTTTATTTTAAAATGTTTTCTTCCTCTACTTTAAAACTCATTGCATGGTTTTATAAATTTTAGCATTATGTGTCTGCACATAATCGGGCACAGATGACGATAGCTTCATATCCACACTGAAATAGTCTTTCATGCAAATTTGTTAGGAGTGGTAACGTTCAGCACCATGGACTTCATCTCTTTCGTGAAGGCCAAGGCAAAACCTGTGCACTACTAAGCTTTCAGAATAAGAATGAGAGGTATGGAGGATGAGTGCTGACTCTCTGTGCTTAAGTGAAAGCCATGCTTTTTAAGAACACAAAGTGTAGAATTAACAAAATTCTACTTAATTTCTGAAGCTTCTTTTCTCCTTCCACCCAAGATGTTCCAAACAGCAGGAGACACACAGTATTGCATGGTCTGTTTTCACAAAGCAGTCACTAGAGGCCTCTCACTTTCAAAGGCACAACTCATGTCCCTCAAGCTCAGTAGAATTATACAAGTATTTCCATTTTATGTGCTCTAGAAGTTACTGTCCACAACACACATGTGGCAGTGAAGGCTCAGAACTGAAGCTGAAACAAAAATACATATTACCTCCCTCAGCGACTTCCTCCTCAGTTATCTCACATTCCACTGCCATGGTAACAAAGCCATTTATGTGCTCTCTTTTCTCCTTTCCTCCCCCATACATCCCTACCTCCTCCCTGCTGCTTCTGGTTGATTTCATGCAGGCAGTTTTTGGTCTCTTTTGAAAAGTCTCATCACCCTGTATGTTATCTGTAACCACTGGGAAGGGAAGGTGTTTCAGTAAGGCTCCTGTTCTGTCTCTAGATGCTCTTTCCTGTGACTATATGGGCAAATTGGCTCCTTAATTTGGAATAATGTTCAGTGGTGTGAGTGGTCTGCCAAACTAAAGCTCATATCTCAGAACGCCTATCATAATATTTTTTTTAAAGATGCTCAACAATGCAGCAGTTACAAGATGAATTAGCTCACGTATGATAAGTGGAGGTAATTTAACTGGCCACATCATAATTGAGAATTTCCTACTCTTCTGTCATGAAGTCTCCAGCAGACAACTCTGGCTGATAAACTGTGCTGATCTCTACTTTTCATGCTGATTTATAAATTACTGTTAAATTAACTGACACATGCATCCAGAAGTATGTGCCCCAGTACTACACTGGAAACCTACTTCATAAACCTCATTTAGAATTACTGTAATTCCAATCTAAATTTACCACAGTGTTTTATCTTTGTATTTATTTTATTTATTTCTTAAATCATAAAATATGACACACTGACCCAAGAATAATAGGAGAAGTAGGTTAGATTAATATGTCAACCAAAAAAATTCACTGTCAGATTCTACATGCAAGTCCTTGATAGAGAAGTGACTTGCATTTTCTCACTCATCCTCCCCACTTTAAGTATTTAAGATTTACTCAAATTATAGGAAACCTCTACATATTTGGCACATAAATTTGTGACAATAGCTTTAAAATCCCAGACACAGTTTCTATAGTAAATGAAATGACACAGATTCCTTCTAAAGGAAATAAGGCCTAACTCTTGTATTCTGGTATTCCTTGTACAATGCTCCCATTCACTTAAATCTTTACATTTATATTCACTTATCCAGTCGGCAGTCTTACAAATTTGCACCTGATGTGTACTCAGCTGGGCCACTGTAAATGTTTGAGCAGTGAAACAGTAAAGCATACTCCTTCTTCCCGTAGAAGGAGATTGCTTTAATGTTGACCAATTTACTGAATTTTCTGGAGTGTGCCCATTTAAAAGCCCAGCTGATGCCCACAATAACTGCAGGTATACATTTAAAATGTTTTGGATTTTTTTTTTTTTCACTAAGTTTATATTACAGTATGCCTACTTTTCTGTATAACTGGGCAATAAATGTAACTTTACCATGTGATAAACATGTTTTTTCTACTGACTCAAGCAAGGTTAGAGAAAAGGGTCAGTGAATGATAAAATAGTTGTACCTAACGAAAGTGGTAGCAGGAGGGCTGACTAACGTGAGACAGCATTGGGCTTCTTGTGCAAACTGAAGATGGGCTTTTGCATGCAGCTCTGAGTTACCCAGATGGCAGAGAAGTCTTGCTGGAGAAGACTTTACCATTAAAAGCCTTTGAGGAGGTCCCATTCTTAGATAAGGATGCAAGATCCTTCCTTATCAGGTAATTCAACATGACTAAGCACACTCATATCTGGCATGGGGAGACTTCTGACTATACAGTGTCGTGCATGGAGAAATACGCAACAGTTCCAACACTGTGAAGGGTTTGAGTACCTGGGATGTAGCCAAGGGTGAAACACAAACCTCTGTTTTTCACACCCCAGTCTAGTGAGGTTTGGAGAGTCCCTAGATCTTGCTGATAAGAACAGAAGGTAAGAGCTCTCACTAGGTCACAGGAAGGAGACCTCAGCCACAGAAAACATAATCGAGCTATTCAAGTTCAAGAGCATTTTAGCAGGGGCCTCCATTAAACTATACAGTCAGAGCCCTTTGCCAAAAACAGAGCTAAAAGTGAAGGGATTTTTCTACAGTCCTAATATTTACAATTATTTGTACATATGTACATATTTATATATTTATTCATACCTGGACAACGTGATGTTGAAGGGAAAATTTTTAATTTACAAATGAAACATCTTAAAAATGTATGCTTATACCATGAAAAAACCCTTTTTTTTATTGCTTGCCTTCTAGCCTTTTGTTCATAATCACACTATTGCACACATCTCCATGTTACATGGAAGATCTACATTTACATATAAATATATATGAAAATAAGGATATTTTTATTTCAATGTTCTGAGTAAAGTGCTCATTTTTAAGCTACTGTTGATGAGAAAGGTTTAGTCTGACAGTTTAATTAGAGGGAATTCAAGGGATACACACCTTGTCCATGCTTCTCCCTTTCTTTTATAACCTACTAAATGTCTTTATTTTACTGATGTCAACTCTGTCTTAACTATTAATTCTATTTATAATATGCATTTGTGACCTTGGTATCTATACTGTCACACAAAGTACAAAACAGAATCACATCAAAAGCAAAGAAAAAGCAAGAAAATAAAACAGCAAAAGAAAGCGGTGTTTCTCTTTGTTTTTAGCACACTTCCATGTCTTAAGATACTCTTTTATTTGATTTTAGAAATATTTGTACAACTTTTTTTTAAACTCTGAACATACCTATTTTATGCACTATACTCAAGTTACTGTACAAAACTGCAATAAATGACACTATACGACTACATATGTCTCTACTAGAAGACATCATCATAAAGGTGTATCTTTTTTAAAGGTCAACTAATAACTGCTAATGTATGTGTGAATCAAAATAGTTTTGATTGGCCAAGTATACTAAAATCTAAATACAGTACACAATTATTATTTATGCTATGATTTACCAGGCCTTTAGGGGCATAAAGAATCTTTGCAAAGGCTCAGAAGAAAAACAATTTTACTGATAGTATTAAATGTTCTTATAAAATTGCCAATGGCAGATCCAATTTTGTTGTATTTGTGTATATGAAATACAGTTGATGCCTACTGATGACGCATGACCTTTTATTAAAAAAATAACATTCAAATCTTAGCAAAATCATTTCTAGTATACAAAGTTGTTGTAAAGTTATGTCAGCGAAATGTAAAGTTGCAATTTACAAAAGCAGCAGTAAATTTTATTATATGGACATATTCCTGAACTTAAATCATGGTTCTTGTTTCCCTTGAAAACAGTGCTTCCTGGGACAAATACAGGTAAATATTGTAATGGCAGGCTTTAGGAAAACATTAAGCAAAGAAAAAAGTATATTATATTACTGATTAACTTAAACCTGAAAAATTTCTGAGTGATTCTATAAACCTGAAAATAATTCAATTAAGAACAAAATCAAAAACAATAATTAAAAAAAATCCAGCTTTGCTGAACCAGACAATCCAGCTTAATAATATCAAATAAATAAAACAGTGAAAAAATAAGTATCTCACTAGCAGAAGTTGGTGGATATTGAATTTGATTTACCCTTTTCCCTGAAATCAATTAGATGTATTTATTAACAACTTCAAAGAGGACAGAAGTAAGAAACTTGTGGCTTTTGCCATACAGTAGTGTTTACTACCTCCTCAATCTAACTTGTATCCAGAATGTCTGTGAAGAGCAGAACTGTACGACCTCCGTACTCTGTTATGTACATGGGTACTGCTATTGTATGAAACAATTACACCTTTTTAAAAAAATCACTTTTTTAAATGACAGTTTCTTTCACTAAAGTAGAATTAGTTACTTTATAGAAAAATATTTTAACTTTAAATTAAAAAAATACTGCTCCTAAATAATTATGTAAGATCACATCTTCATCTCATTGTACGGAGAGAATATAATTCTGTATATTTGAATCCTAGTTTAACAGAAGTCCCCTGGGTTTAACTTTTAAAGAGCTGGCTGTATTTGCCATGGGTGCTATCTGTTTACAGACCCATGAATTAACGCTGTGTCCCTCCTTTGGAGACACACAGACAAGACATTTATATACACACTGTACAGAATGGTTCACAGATTAGCAGTTATTAGTCGGACTGTACATAGCGAACAACCTATCTGATTAGAATGATGCTTGGAGTCCTCAGTGCAAGTCAGCTTTTAGGTTGATGGTGCAAAGCCAAGTAAGACAGGCTCCCTGTTTAAATATGTAGCCCAATACACTAAATTAAAAGTACCAAATAAGACTGGAAACACTATTCTAGACATTCTGTCAATTTTGCTAACACTGTTGAATGTCTTCTTTGCTTCTTGTGGCTTCGCTTCTGGTTTTGCCTTGTTGGGTTCTGCAGTTGTAGCACTCTTGGAGATGGTTGGTAGCACTGAGTCCTTGGTAATATTTGGAGCATAGTTGGCAACAGCCACTGCATAGGCATTGTTTTTCTTAATGACAGATGCTTTTTCTTTTTTCTATTGGAAGACAGCAGGAAGTTAAATATTTCATGTGTATTTGCCAGAATAGACTTAATAAAACATAATTTCAAAAGTAAAAGAAACGAGTGAGCATATTAAAATAAATACCATGCCAATAAATTCAGATATAAAGAAAGACATTTCCAGTCTATCCAGAAAGAAGGTTGAGGTGACATAAGATTGCTCCTGCACCATCAAATGCCCTACTGAAGTTATGTGAGGAAGTCTCTGTTACTGTGATTGTAAGCATAACTGGAGAAGTGTCGGCCTTTCTGTAGTGGCTTTGCATCTGTCTCCTTACAACAAAATTGCAAGTTCTTTACAATGTTTACTGTGAAGATTACCCGTCATGGTAGTGAAATTAAAATTAGGCCACCTGTCTCACATTAAACTAGCATGGCTATTATTTGGGCATGTCATAACATACCACTAACAAATACATGAATTCCAGTTAAGGGTATACATTTTTTAGACACTCTGGAGAAATGTGTTTACACATATATATAGATAGACACACATATAGAGAGGTCAGGAAGAAATTGCAATTAAGTGAAAGAATGCAGACTGATAGTTTTAGAACCGAGCTGAGATTCAGCCCTAGAACTATTTCTGTTTTTCATGAAGTATTGGTTAAAAAATGCATAACAATGATGAAAACAGGACTAAGAACCTAAAAAACAGCAGAAGATAAGGAGAGTGGGATAAAATTAATTTAATGAAGCTCAGAAAAGGGAAATTTAAGTCCTGCACCTGGGGAGGAATAAGCTATGCACCAGTGCAGGTTGAGGATAATGGGTTAGAAAGAAGCTTTGTAGAAAAAGCCCGGGGGGTCCGGGTGGCCACCAAGTTGAACACAAGCCAGCAGCAAAGGCCAACAGCCTCCAGGGCTGCATCACACAGTGCTGCCAGCCAGCCAAGGGAAGTGATCATTCCCCTTGACTCGGCTCTGGTGAGGCACATCTGCAGTGCTGGATCCAGTTCTGTGCTTCCCAGCTCAAGAGAGACATGGACATAATGAAACTGCCCTAGTGAAGGACCGCAGAGATGATTTAAAGCCTGAAGCATCTGAAATACAAAAGGCCAGGAAAGCTGGGGCTGTTCAGCCTGGAAAAGAGAAGGCTCAGGGGGAGTCTTGTCAATGTGTATAAGTATCTGAGAATAAAGATTAGGTTTTCCCCAGTGAAATACAGTTGAAGGACAAGAGGCAATGAGAACAAAATGAAATACAGAATATTCCACTTAAGTATTAAAAAACCTCCCAATTTTACTATGAGCATGACCTAGTGCTGGCACAGGTTACCTAGGGAGGTTGTGGAATCTTCATCTTTGAAGATATCAAAAAGATATCTGGACAATGACCCTGAGCAGCCATCCATAGGTGACCCTGCTTGCACTACGGGAGATAAATTTAATGATCTCCAGAGGTCAATTCTAACTTCACCAGTTCTGTGTTGCTATGGGACTGTGCATGCTTTCAAAGGGCTAAAGTTCCGCCAGGGGCAGTTCACTGGAGAGTCCATGTGTACACATGGGCACAGGGATGTGTAGGGAATGAATACAGGCTTGGGGTTTCAGAGCAATACACAGGTTCACAGACTAGTTCTGCAATAAGCCTATAATGCTGTAAATTGATCCAATGCTTTGCAGCAATCTCAGACTAAGGAATTTCTAATAACCTACAAGAAAGAATGGAAGGCAGTTTCTCAGGAAGCAATATATATTATTTACATATATATAAATATAACATGTATCATTTATATATAAAACAATACAATAAAATAATGTATGTATATATATATATTACATGCTATGTATTTAACATACATAAAATATATGTATGTAATTTAGAGACGAGCAAATAAATATTAGATTTAGTCCGTCTCTTCCACAAAATACAGAATTAAGCAAATGAAAAAATAGCTAACTTCTGGATCATATATAAATCATCAGTTGTATTGGTCTGTTTTGATTTTTAATCTGATAGAAGTGACACAACTAAGGGAATTCTCCATGACATTTCTCATATAGGTGCATTTCAATTTTTTACTTCCACTGGGAGGCATCTATTCCATTTGCAATTTTGGTTTTAAATTACATCCAATTTGATATTTATCTGGGCCATCTAAAAATCTTGCTCAGATCTTCATGGTTAGATTTGTGCCTAAAACACCTTGTCTTAGGAGATGGTGTCACACGAAAAGAGAATCTGGGAACCAGTTGGGAATTCAGCACTGTTCCTTGTTGACTGGAGTGTGAAAAATAGTTGATCAAACATGTAGCTTTTTCCTGCACCTGCCTTCCTGTGCGGCAAATTCCCTGTCAACAGCACTTAGACAAGAATTTCCATATAATGTGAACATAGACGACTGCCACTGAGGAAACTTATTTCATTTTAATTAGTGAAGAGTAAGCCTGGCTTTAGGTGCACAGATGCCTTCAGCTAAAAAAAAGAGCAAATTACCAAATCAAATTATGGGAGGAACACTTTAATTAATCTGTAAGTCCTTCTTTTCAGACACAATTAGTGTGTTTTTAAAAGGTATCTGTAATACCATTAATGAGACCTGCATAATAAAGCTGAACCATATTTTTGTATAAGAAACTATGACTACATTAAAAGCTTATCTTTTTGTTAAGTCAGTTTGAAGAAAGAAGAGAACTGGACACATGGATGGTATATAAATCTTAAAATGTAATGGATGCTATTGTCACTCCTAGGGAAGGAATACTGCCTAGCTTTTAAACAGTTGCCACTCCTAGGATGATGAAACAACACTGTTGTACTTTAAAGGAATGACCAAAGGATGATCAGGGAGTTTATAGGGCTCCCTACATTATTACAATTATAATTGCCATTATTATAATAATGGCAATAACTGGCACACAGGGCAATGTGCCAGTCTGAAAAGCTTCACTCATGACATGCTGATAAACTCGCCCTGATTTACCTCGAGCAGGAGGTAACAGATCCTGAAGTTATGGATAGTTCATGCCCTTCCAGAAGTCACAGGGAATGATGAAGAATGAACATTTCTTCTAATTCTCCTTTACTACTAACTGAACATTTTGCTTCTTTATGAATTGCTTCTTTGTGATTTGCTTCTTTATGCATGCTTCTTTATGCATTCAAAATGATAAGAAATCAGTTAATGAAACCTGCTTTATTTGCATTTAGGAAGCAAATAAAATTCTATCCTATTTTAAGAGGATCACAGAAATCCATGTATTTTTCAGAAGAAATCTGTTTTCATTGGTAAAATCCAGGACTGAGATAGGAAAAAAGGATAAAATATATTAAGTCAGTCAAAACGGGTGAGCTTTAATAATTGTTCTGCGTTAGAATTCTAAACTGCAAATACACAAATTTAGGTGTGTCACTAAGTCATTCTGTTTGTGAAATGAGAAATTCTATCAAATCAAAACTTCTTCATTCCATCACAATATAAAGACCAGAAAATTAAGGCATGACTGTGTTTCTGTGTACTGAAAGCATAGACACATTATAGGTGAAGAATTTTGTACATCTGCTGTCTAAAGTGGTTTTAAAATTAATGTCTAGCTATCAGTAGGAATAAGTTTCAGAATACTGGAAATGTTCAGAAATTCTAGATTTTGTTATTCATAGTACATACATATATGGATATTAATTTGCTTTTCTAAACCTTACATAACATGAAAATTAATATACATTATATATTTCTGTAATTTTTTTTTTATTTCCAACTCAACTAAATTAAAAAAATACAAAAAGTGATCCACCAATATAATCTGGATTAAATTTTATGAATAACCAGATAAATGGTTGTATCTGAGGAGCTGAAATACAAGACAGACAGTTCCCAAAATAAAAAAAAATAACGTTCTTGATAACTAAATCTGGATTAGTGAGACCAAATGAGATTAGCATAAGGGCAGATATATTCCTGTTCAAGACAGAAAATACATGTACATTCTTTTGATTTAAAGCTTTTTATATATATATATATATATAGCAAAATATCATAATACATTAGAGCTGGTTTAGGTAATTGACTGGAAATAAGACTATTTCCTTAGGACTTACCTTATCATTCACTACACTTTTTCCATCCCAGGCCCATCCTCGTTTTGTGAAATAATTTACAGTTGCAAATTCAATTAATGCAGAGAATACGAATGCATAACAAACAGCAATAAACCAATCCATAGCTGTTGCATATGCTACTTTGGGGAGTGAATTTCGAGCACTGATGCTCAGTGTTGTCATTGTCAACACAGTTGTTACTCCTGCAAGGGGACACAAAAACAGAACCAACAATTTCACTTGGATTTTGAATGTTAGCAAAAATAAACCAAAAAATATTATGGTATGCTTTTGAAACACAATGAATTTTTTTTTCTATGTTGGTGACAAACATTGCTAGAATTGTATAAAATGTTGTATCTGGATTTTCCTTTGAAGTAATTTCAGTTCAATTTCTTGTCTAAACTTTCCTTTTTAAATGAGCTGATGATTTAACTTACAGAAAATAATTTTTTTTTAACCTGTCAGGGCAGGATAGGTTATTGTAAGGAACAAAATTAATCATTTCTTCACAGATTCATAATATTTAGTAACATTAGAGTAATATTGATTAATAGGTTAATGTTTGGTAGCTGGCTTCTCTGCAATGGCTGCAGGTTTGGTACCCATATTTTCTGAAATTATCACACAAATACACTTTTTTAATGAGAATTTTTTTTCTTTACAGTTGCTGTCTTACTAACCATTCAGTGACATACTCAAAGACATAAACAGGGTAAACTCTCATTCAGGTAACATGGATTGTATTCTAGAACAGCATTGATTTGATTTACTATTGTAATTGTATTGTGTGTCAGAAAACAAGCGTTGGTGATACAGGAAAGCTGTGCATTCACTGTGGCAGTTATTAAAAGAATTTTGCGGTACTTTTTACATAATGAGGACCCAGCAAAAAAAGAAAAAAATCCCTCCCAAAAGAATCAGGAAGATACATGGGAGCAAAGTAAGAGAACTTTTGTCTGAGTCAGATTTAGCAAGCAGAAATCCACAGCCATAAATACAGTCTCCATTCCTTAAGTAAATCAATTCTCCCACCTCAGGCTGAATCACACTTAGACAAACTAAACTATTCCCTTTGTGGCACACCATTAAGTATGTCTGCAGAATTAAAGGCAACACAAAGTGATATACTCAGCACAGATCAGCAAACCTACACTTCACTATGACAGGCAAAGGAGATGCCATGGCAGAAATATTAGTAACAGCACATCACAGCTTCAACAAATACACACTCATAAAACTGGTGTAGGAGGCTTCCCAAGAGAAAGTAAAATCACTCTCCCTAAGCCAGATCTTCTGCTGTCAGCAATCTGTCACCTGGGTTCTGAAGGATCAACACAGCTCTGATTTTCCTTCTGCTACAAGAGAAGAAGCAATTTTATCCACTGTGTGAAAGAGAAGAGAGCCAGCAATTGCATCTACTGAGACCTCCTCGGACTCCACAACTTTCATCCCTCCAGTAAAGATTCTCCATCTCTGAAGGTGCCACAAAGGGTGACAGAGCAAAGCTAAGTGGACTCAGCCTCAGCGCTCTCAAAGGTCTGTGCAGCAGGGAAAACAACACACAGAAGCATCCTGCTGAGTCACACAGGAGACACCTTAGCAAACATAAATCTCTAATTGCTGTTTTTCAGCCTCCATAAATTAAAGTGGATGCCTGGAATCAGCCAGGACACTGTTGGCATCTACTAGGCTATACAATGAAAAGGAAGCAGCTATCATATGGAACAGTATGAAAATCTGTAGACAAAATATATTTTGTAAAGAACTTAGTCTCTCCTAATGCTTACAGAACACATGGCTTAATTATTTTCAGCACCTCAGGGAAAAGACAGCCTATCTTATGTTTATAAGTATCACATGTAAATTTTAACACGGGTCCTGAGCTGCAGATAAATCATTATAATTATACAGAGGGATCAGTAAAGTGAATGTTTCTCAGATCCAAGGTGACCTTATCCACATGTAAATATATACAGTTGCTAAGGTATTGCTCATATTCAATCCCACTTTATAGAGTAAATTAATCTTCTGAAAACCACATTGACTTCTTCAGAAATCTGATTTAAGATTTAATGCTGACCTTTCCTAGTCCCAGTTAAAACATTGTGAATTTTTATCTTGTTACCACATGCTACCACTTGACAATTCCTCTAAAAAGTTCAGCAAGTTACACCACTTTGTGACCCAAATGCTAATCAAGCAGCACACTGCCAGCCCATTGCCAACATACTTTCATTTATTCCTTCACTCTATAAATTCAGTGATGGGAATTTAAGCTACCACAGTCATTTAACCTGAATTGAATGGGGAAAAATTGGACAGAAAATTTCATCTGCAATATCTGTCAGTTTAGGATTTTCTAGTCCTTTTAGATTGCTATTATTCTTCAGAGAAAAAACGGATGATTTTGCACATCATAGTTAATTTGAAAAATAAGTTTTATCAAGTCTTCTTTATGAAAAAGGACTGAATGGAAATAACTGCCTCCATGCCACTGCTAAACCTGAGAGGACTGAAAAGTTATTAATGTGGAAGAACAGGGTCAACTTGAGAAAACAAAACTCATTTATTTCACAAAGATTAACTTAAAATCTCACAAAACCCATACACTGATCAGAACAAAACTGTTCCTCATTGCTCATCTAATTCATAACACTAGTGAACTAAAATTGGTATAAAAAACAGCAAGTAGATTGTAGCCCCTACAATGAAGTGGTCAAAAAAAACCCCAAAAAAACAAAACATTTAAAAGGCTACGTAAAGACTGCATGATATCTCACTGTGATGCAGAAAAAACAGTTTACATACAAGGCAAGAACTCTCTTCTATAGCCCAGCACCCAGCAGATGTGGCAACTGAATTGCTACCAGAAGAAACAATCATGTATTATTTTGTAAGGGACCACGAACAGTCATCAGTTTTGTGTCTTTGAAAAAGACACAAAAAATAAACCATCCAACCACCTTCTTTCTCCAAAGAAAGCATTTTTTACTTAACAGTAAACATCCTTACAAGGTTTATTCTCAGCAGTGCATGCCTACAAAGCTAAATATTTTCTATCACTAAAGGTTTATCCATTGCAGCCAAGACTGGAGCTATTTGATTGCCTGGGATTTTTTTTTTTTTAATGGTGCTACTTTTAAAACAGCATTTGCTTACTGGAGAGAGAAAACCCATCTCCAGAGCTGCAAATTCAACACTTTTCACTGGCACTAAACTTATATATCTGGAAAATAGCCGCTGTGTTATGCTCATAACAGTGGAAGAAGTAACCTGAAAAACTAGAAATGTCTAACTAGAAACAGAGAGTGGAAATTGGAGGAGTTGACACATAAATATTAAAGTTAAGATCTGTCAAGATGACTACTTTATGACCACATTTGTTAGTTACACATAACGATTGAAGAACAGATCACAAAAGGATTGATAAACTTTTTATTTTTTTAATTTAGGAAATTATTTTCATTGTTCTATTTTTTTAACACCAATTGCAACTGTGTTTTGGTAATTAGATATCCCAACCTGGTCCAAAACCCAAAGATATTCATAAATACAAATAACAGCAGAAAGAAAAGATTGTTGACCATTTCAGAGATACAGATTACCACTTCATTTTATCACTCCAAGACCAAATAGATAGAAATGCAAACAAAAGTTTCAAAATTCTGTATGTAGCATGATATTAAAGCATTGCACCATAACATTTTGCTACACACAATGCTGTTTGCTTTTATTTACTCAAAGTATATGTGTTAGCAGGGAATGCAATACAAAAGGAGTGTACTGTGATTTTGCTCCAACACCGGCAGGTAAGTCTGAACAACCATTGAGAGAAAGATTATAGAAAATAGCTCAAGCACTCTGTATACCCTTTTCACTAAAATAACAACACCAACCAGCCTTTTTAAATAGCTTGGGAGGCAAGAACCATAACAAAATCTATTTCCAGAAAAGTTGAATTCAGTCAGTTGGGTAAGCTCGTGTCCATATGGTGAAGTCGGTATCATGCTGCTTCACTGTATCAATACTGAGCAATGGAGCACAATTTCCCATTGAGCAACAGACAAGTTTATTCCCAAAGACAAATGGCAAATGGTTATTTAGCCCAGCTCCAGGAAAAGTTGCATGCAATTATTCCACCCCTGGAATATGAACTAGTGTCTTCACACATAACTTAGTTGAGGAGACATACTAGTTTGTTTGTGGCCAGCTCTCAGTCTCTTACTCAGGGCTAGTTTTCCACTGCCCAATGCCTATCACTGTATTATGATACCTACATTTAGCAGAAATTCCCAATTAAGAAATTATAAACAGAAATGTGTGAGTAGCAGGATATCTCCTAAGGCACAAAAGACAATCTGCAGCATGTGGAAGGAGAGAAGAATAAAGACAATTGAGATTTTTTTTTCAATGAAATGGGAAAATGTACTTTGTATTTATAAAACTGTTCAAAAGGATGGGTCTCTATTATTTAATTTCCATGTAAAAATAAGCAGAGAACAAATTTGAACTTTTCTTGGGTTCCTCTTTTTGTAGTGTCACAATTAAAAAGTTGCTTTGGGTCTGCATGGCAAGGTTTTGGTAGTGGGGCGCTGCAGCGCTGTCTTCTGTGAGAAGCTGCCAGGACCTTCCCCCATGCCTGAGAGATCCAAAGCCAGCCAGCTCCAAGAGGGACCCACTGCTGCTGGCAAGGCCAAGCCCAAGGGCAACACTGGCAGCGCCTCTGGGATGACATATTTAAGATGGACAAAAAATTATAATGAGCAGAAGCAACTGCAGCCAGAGAAGACAAGTGAGAATATGTGACAGAAACAGCTCTGCAGACACCCAGGTCAGAGGAGAGGGAGAGGGAGGAGGTGCTCCAGGCACCAGAGGTGAGTTCCCCCTGCAGCCTGTGGTAAAAGCCATGGGGAAGCAGCTGTGCCCCTGCAGCCCACTGAGAGGTCCACGGTGCAGCACAGATTGACCTCCAGCCCAAGGAGGACCCCACAAAAGAAGAGCTGAATGCCTGGAGGAGGCTGTGACACCATGGAAAACCTGTGCTGGAGCAGGCTTCCAGCAGGACCTGTGGCTCCACAGGGGACCCATGCTGGAGCACTCTGCTCCTGAAGGACTGCAGCCTATGGAAAGGACCCACATCAAGAACCAGTGAAAACAGACACAGGAACTCAGAGTAACAATAAAATTACCACAGTGAACTAACAAAAGAACACAGCTATGTGAATTTAAATATAATAAATAATAAGACTAATTTTTGTTCTTTCCTGCTTCAGTTAACAAAGATTATATACCTAACTACATTTATTTTATCATTCTCATTGATACTCCATGTGAGTTAAAGCACAGATAACTGTAGCACTAAGAAAACTAATTTCTGATTTTCTGTCACCTGCATCTAATGCTGTTATTCAAACACATGTGATGCTTCTAAGTGCTATGACCCATTAAAAACAAGCAAGAATCCAATAAGCTGCACAAGATTAGTTTTGCTAATATTGTTGACACTAAATGCATAACAATAAACACATTACTAAATGAAACAGATTGTAATCTTGCACTAAATGAAGGCATTATGAACCAGTCTTATTCTCTTTCATTAAGAATGCAATCAGATTTATACGCTGGAGAAAACACATTCAAGACTTATTTAATCAACGATGACAAAACTTTCTTTTTCCAAAAATTTAAAGCAAAGTTGAAGCAATAGAGTAATGTTAAATAGATCCCATAAAGAAAAGGGATTAAAGAGCTCAACAATAAAATAAGCCTCATTATACCAACCCCTAATGTTAGCCTAGAACTTGAAACCACATTGCAAGAGAATAAAAAGGGAAAAGAAAAGTAATTTCTTTTTCCCATGAAATAACACATGCTAAGTGGTGCTTTGAATAACTAGAAGTTATGTTTCATTGAAAGGAACAGTATTCCAGTAGTTGGTCCTTAACTCTCAAGAAGGTCATTGAAATAAATTTCTCATTGATTTTCAAAAACACTTTGTCAAACCCATAACTTCTGTTTAGTTATATTTTAAAATTGATATTTTTAATGTACAATGCAAAGATGGGTATCTAACAAGTGACTACTCCATATAAAAACTAAAAATTAGGTATGATCAATAAAAGTGTAAAGGAATACCCCCTACAATTTTTATATTCTCTGCTGAATGTAGCTCATTTCATTAATGTAACTGTTGTATGAGCTTCTTTTGTCACTGGATGGAGCCTACTTCAAAGCATCACCCAAATGAAACCTTGAGTGTACCAGCCCAGCTCCAACTGACAAGAATATTTCAGTACAATCAAAAACCACTAAAGAGCTAGAGAGGAACTTTGTTATGAAACTCTGAGTAACTGCACATTTTTGTAACACATTCAGGCAAGAGACCAGAGCGTATCAGAAATCCCAGTGACAACTGCTGCCAGTAGGAATGGAGAAAGCCTGGGAGATCCACTTGAGGCTGTGTATTTAGAGAGCCCATTGGCAGCTTATGCTAACAATCTCATCTAGAGTGTAAAAGAATGTTATGAAATAGCTCCTCAGGGAAAATCCAACCCAACCCAATGAAAAAGGCTAAGCCTGAGGAGCAAATGCTGCATGATAGGGCTATGGTTTCCCAAAAGGCAGGGCCTGGATGTGTCTTGTTTCCCTGGGTGAAGGGTGCCTGGAGGGGACAGAGCCCTTAGTGGTACACAGGGTGCATATCTGTGTGGCAGGAATAAAATACTAGCATGAAACTGCTATGTCTGCAATAAACCCATCATTTTTAGTCATGAGATTTCAGTTTTGGTGTCACTGAGTGGTGTGATTCTGTTCTTGTGGCCCTCCTATGCATTTCCCTCAAGACATCCTGAAGAAGGACACTTCATTATCCATGTTATACTAAACCCCAGCAGAGCAAAGCTGCCATGCAGATACTACTCATTTCTAAAAAAAAAAATACAAATTAAACAGAAAATAAATCAAGAATAAAGAAGAGGTGTGCAGGAAGGGACACATTTCAGGAAAATTATCCCAGGGCCTTGTTATGGATGGAGTGCCTTGTTAACAGTGACACAGTAACAGAAAGTGCATTTTAGGAAGAGCAGATGTGAGACTTTTTTTGGAGAAACCAGTCACTCTGTCCTATATGTCCTGGAGTGGATACAGAAAATACTTGCAAGGCTGGAAAACAGGAGTGTATATTTTCATAACCAAAAATGGATAAATTCACAGAAGATCTTGAAGAAAGACAAAGAATCTGCCTGATAGCTGCCTGGAAAACCATGGCAGAATTCTGGTCCCACTGAAACTACTGACCCATTTCATCTGACTTCTGTAAGGCTCCTATTCAAACCTGCAATTTTTACAGTGCTTTGTGTGGCATATTCTCTACCAGGAGAGACAGTAAATGCTTTGTTGTGCATCCTATTTAATATGCATTTGAGTTTGGCCTATATTTTGAAGAGTACATGGTGCTTACTGATGACTAAGCATACAATTTTATGCAGCATTTTTGATGGCTGATTCCACACAGACAATAATTTTATTGTGCTAATCTCTTTTTTTTTTTTTTAAAGAAAACAAATTAAATGTACTTTGCTTTGCAAATAAGAAAGACATTTTTTATTTTGAGAAACACCATTTTATTGCTTGCTGAACTCTCCAATTTGAATCAGCGAAAAAGTGTTGCCCAAAAGCCCAGAATAGGGTTTCTTTAAATGAACTTCAGCTTGAAATTTGAACAAAAATAATTCAAGAAATTCAAGTTTAATTTGCCTAATTTAAAAATAAATTTAGAAATTTGCCTATCTACCAAGTACCAAAATACTTGGATAATACCAAGGTAAGTAAGATATTTCAGAAAATCATCTAAGTTTACTAAATTTAGTTTTTAAATAGAAACATTATAATCTTTTTCTATTCTCTGATTTTTTTTTCCTCTTAAGAGTCAAGGATATGAGGACCGTTTGCTTGCATGTACTAATTTCTAAAACCTTTGGGATTCTCAGGAGATGTGTGAGCTGCAGCTGAAAGCTGTTTGGACTAGAAAGCATATCACATTCTACAAACATTTTAACTTGAATGAGAAAGCCCTTTACTTCAGAAGTACTTTCTAGCATCTTCAGCTACTGCAAACAGAGCTAATGCTACTCAGTATACTCACCAAAGACTGTCCTGGCAGGTACAGATTCTCTGTTCAGCCAGAATGACACTTGAGACAGAATGACAGTCATGATACAGGGGAGGTAAGTCTGAATGACAAAATAACCAATTTTTCTCTTCAAGTGAAAATGAGCCGTCATTACTGTATATTCACCTAGGTGCCACAAACAAACAAAATACAGTGAAACAAAAGGTTATCATCTTAAGAAAGACCATTTCTTTGGTGAGAGAAAGTTTGCTATATTTATGCCAAACAAATGTTCTAGGGTTGTATTGTACTTAAGGTATTTTGTAATAGAAAGCATCCTATAAAGTATAAGAAAAATTTTGCGTACAGCTATTTCTTATTCCCACTGTGTTCCATGAAAGGTGAGTGTTGAGGAACTTCCAGGAAGTTTTGTATGTGCTGAGAAGTACTTCAGCCTTGAAGGCTTCTGCTTATAAGCAACTCTCTGCATTCACACACCACCTCTCTGAGAATTTAATCACGGTCAGAAAGCAGCCATGGGGGTCCATCACAGCCTGGCACATGCAGGAAAACAGTCTAGAGTCTAGCAGAATAGTCCAGTGTTTCATGTCGAAAACATGATGGAAGGGAAACATGGTTGAAACCTGTCTGCTCTACCATTTACTAGACAAAATCTATGTCATTTGCAATATTAAATCTAACAAATATCCCAACCCTGGGTTACAAATATTAGGATTGAACATGAAGCTCCAGACAGCATTTTAAAAAACAGTCCCTTAGGGCAAGTTCACCTCTGCCATCACCAGTTAACTATAATTTGAAAGAATCAGTGAAGTGCTGTTTTGTGTTACTTGTACATTACATTCCTAATAGATCACATTTTGCAACATTCTTTTTCAGAAGCCTGTAACACCACCTGGAATATAGTTTTCACAGCTAGTAACTGCCTTTTTCTCCAAAATATTTCAAAATATCTTTTACTAACCTGTACTTGACTTAACTGTCTCTTTTCCAATTGTCTGGCCTAAAAGATCATACTGATTCAGTCTTGACCCATCTGGTGCCACTTGCACTGAATCTGAAGCATTGTAAGTCCAAATGTATGTCACTTCTGAAGTTGTGTATGCATCTGTGAGAAACAAGGTAAAATGTTTTGTCAACAATTTAAATTAAACAGCATCCATCAAAACTCACAGAATTACAAGAGCCACTTATTTTTCAAATAAAAACTTACCCCAAAGAATTTAAAATTATGTTATAAAAAATATCTTTGGCCATTTTAAATAGCTTTACTGTAAATTAAGTGCCTACTGCAGCATGGGAACAGGGCACTCATTTGTGAACTTATTAACCACAATTTCTTTCTATTAAACTACAAACAACATCTCTTCTACATGGTTAAAAGACTTGTCAGAGATTAGATATTACATGTATCCTATAAATTGTGATAAGGCAGATGAAAAGAAGAACAATTTGCAAGATTTAGGACACACAAAATTTTAAAAAATTCATTCCTGTATAGTTCTGACCTTCCATTGTCTTCACGCTCAACTTTGGCGATGTATCTCAATAATTTTATTATTAGTTGAAATCCAGACTTAAATATGGGAAGCCAGCAGTGAAAACACCCTGGTACTTTGTTCTGCCTACCCTCTTAAATCTCATTAGTGTTCATTATTTTGGGGGACACACCAACATTAAACAGGCTGCTCTCTCAGTACATTCATGATCAAGCATACATTTAGCCTGGTCTCTCAAAAGCAAATCAACACTGCATTTTAAACAGCACTAAGGCCCCTCCAGTAAGTAAGAAAAAAAAAAAAAAAGAGTATGTCCTGAAAGTTTTTCCAGTCTAATATGCTATTAACAAATGGAATATGAAAGAAAAAGGGTAAACCACTGATGGAAGAAGTTGGGTGCTCATTTTGATTGACTGAGACAAGTACATTTTATATCCTACACCATAATTGCAGTGCAATTAAAAAGTAAAGCAGCACTACTGTTGGTCTGCAAACATTTTCACTTGAGAAATCTCTAGAGGCTCAGAAAGTAGCTTCTTCATGCAACTAGCCATAAATTGCATGACTAACAAAATCTAGCAGGTGGGTAGCAAGTAGAGATTTTTAACACTTCCCATGTATCCTTCCAGCTTTACACAAAAAATATCTCTGCTTTAATGCAAACCAGCAGTATGGCAAATTGTTGATTTGTCTCCATTCTCTTCACTGTCAGCTAGACTTTTTGAAAAGAATAAAGAAAAGCAATCTATTAAGCTACAGCTTCTCCCATACATTCAGTTTGGCTTTTCTCTTATGTATAAAAAGAGACATTCATACATGCTGATGATCCTCCTAGCAATGTAAGATTAGCAGCATATGAAGAGCTGTGAGAAATGTATACCACTGGCAAACTTGCCTTAGTTAAACCAAAATCCTCAGGATTCCTGCTTATTTTCACCACTATTCATCATTCAGATTCTATCCCAGAATAAAAGGTGAAAAATGCACAGTTGTCTAGAATTGAGTCCTAGGTAAAGAAATAAAATGTGTGTGAAGCCATTCAAAATGAACAGAAGTAAGAGTCCCCTGAATGTGCCAACAGGCACGAGTGACTTTGAGGGAAATGAAATACACTTTTTAAAATCACACTGCTCACATTTAGAATTCCTCTGATTACTGGGAAATCATAGGCAGAGAAAAAAAGAGCAAGCTGGTAAGAAAAACAATCAAGACCAAAAAAAAGACAAAAAAGGAAGTGATTGATTCACACTAAGTCTAATACATCCAGTAATAAGGGTTTCCAACCTAAAATTGCTCCTGAAGAAGGCAGTCTTTTGGCCTGAGTATCAGTTCCATTATTACAGGAGTATTCAAATTGCTTTGAGGCTACATAGGAGTCTTTTTTTTCCTGTAACACCTTATAAATCCAACATGCCTTGCTGGGCACTTATATGTAAATATTGGTAGTCAGTAGCCGATTTTGGCTAACATCTCAGCCAATTTAGGCTACATTATGTATTACAAATATAATATTGAGGGGGCAGGAAAAGGCTCCATGATGCAAATAGTATTCACTCTAATGACCTTTCTCTCCATAGCTAAGATTTCCTTCAAATGTGGAAACATCATCACAAGCAAAGGCTTTGTTTAATTTGCTACAAAGTCCAAGGAAAAGGGACATTGGAGAGAGTGTGCACAGTAGCACAGTGCTATGACAAGCATCATGTGGCTAATGAGGTCTTTAATGGCAGCATATCCCGTTTTGTATTCTGTGGGTGCTACAATTATTGTAAAGTCAGCCAGAATTTATAGGCTTTAACTTGTTTCCTCAAAAAAACCCAATTTCCTTTCCTGGGCACAGCAGAGAATGTAGGCTGCAGCCAAAGAAAAAAGAAAAATAAAGCTTTTAGTGTAAAAAATCCAGGAAATATATATAATGAAGAAGAAAAAGAATGCCTGTAATCTAAGAAGGTGAAATAATGCTGCTTTTAAAAATAATACCAGTGAGGTCAAATTCCACCTGTCTGTGACATGCAGATGCACTAAAGAATGAAATTTTTTATCACATGAACCCATTCGTTACTGCCTTCATTGAATAAGAACATTAAAAATATCATTAACAATAAAGAGAAACCAAGTTTTGGTGATAAATTTAAAAAACCCACTCACTGAATTCCTTGATGTGCTCTTTGTTAATGCTACACAGGCTACGTGCATCCAGTTCTGTGTTGGTCAGTGTGATTTGCACACTGGAATGAAAGCAGATCAGTGCAGTGCTGATCAGGTGGAGGGTGTTTATTGTGAATTGGACCAATGAAATCTTTAACATACACTATAAGACACAATACTTGAATAAGGAAAAGAGATTTTGATGTGTCAGGTTACAGATTTTTTTGTTTTTAAGTCCCATCTTGTGGTTTACATTTCCCATGTAACAATTTACTGAAACAAAATTATGCTGAGAAATGTTAGAGATTCACTCATCAAAGGCTCTACTTCCCATTATGTACTTACAGCTGCCAAATTTCAGTGGGCACGAGTGAGCATCCATAGGGAAGTCCTCCAAGTGCATTGGACATTCAGCTTGGACTGTAAGCCTAAAAGGCAAAAGATCTCTATGCATTTAAGTAATTTAGCAGGACAAGAAAATCACTTCCACAGAAAAGAACAGTTCATGCCAATTTAGTAGACTGAATTGAAATTTTATATTGAACTAACAAGAATTTAAATCAGCTTTTACTTCTTCCATTTTATGTGTTCCTTTGAAAGGCATTTACTTATCATATCAAGAACCTGTAAAAGTTGACCTCAAAATTATGAACAAAGGCCATTTAAAGAAAAATACAAATTAAGTACTGCCAGGTTGTTAAGAAAAATAATTTTCTTCTCAAAATATTCTGTGGTACTTGTGTGCTACTACAGCTCTTAAAGGCTCATTGAAATGCAACTAAAATACAATTAACTTGCCTAAGAATCCTACTCTAGTTTTTTTAATTCAATTTTTTTTACAGTTTAAATAGAAGATAAAGAGAAAAAATATTTGTATTCTTTCAAAAGATTGCTGCTCCTCATTCTCCATGTTACTAGTGATTAGTCTTTACATTTATGTAAAGTGTGACAGTATGTTAACAAAACATCCACTTTTGCCCATTTTGTGAAATATCCTAGTATCATATATGGGGATTACTATAATAAAAATAATTTAAAACAATTTGAAGAAAGCTTTTCATGGACTTCTCCATTATTTGTAATTAAAAAAAAAAAAAAAGCCAAGAAAAACTCCTATGTTTCTCCTTCATATCCTTTTAGTCTTCTCTGGGTAGAAGTTTTTTCTATAAGCCTTTTCTTCATCCAGTCCCAAACATCAGTTACAGCCTTCTGTATTCCCAGTGGTTCTTAGTCATTGTATGCTCTGCCATATTCTCCTAGCCTTCCACCAAAAAATAGTTCATAATTCTACTCCTCCACTCCCCAGGAATGTTTATCTGAATTGAAGGGGCACCAAGAGATAAGAATCAGCAAACAGCTGAAGGCAAAGGAAAGAACTTCATGAGCCTCTGATGTAAATCACACAATCATTTTATGTAGACATGATAGAAAGAGCTGTTTAAAATCTAGGCAAAACAGTTAGATCAGTGTACACATTAATCTCATACCCTGAGAACCAACATACTCACAAGTAACAAAAATGCTTAGTCAATTATAATTAACCTGAACCAGCTTATGCTTCATAATGGTTTCAAACAGTATTTCCTATAATTTATAGCATATGATTATTATACTCTCTGGAGAAAGAGAATTTCAGTCAGCTTAGATAGATAATTCTCAAATATTGATTTGAGCCAAGGCAAAAATACAACATAGGGGGCCTGAATTTACTTCAAGCAAACTTTTTTGAATCTCTCCAAGCACTACGGCATCCAATATCATCATCAGTCTGCCCATCAACACACAGCAGTGTAAGGGTTTCAGAGCTGTGTAGTAAAACTGGGATTCAGGGATGCTGGCATGGCTGCATGGAAAAAAGTACCAGAGAACATGTTAACTTTGAAGCTCACATTTTCTATCTTACTTAGGCTAGGGATTTTAAGTCGACACTCACGACAACTTCAATTTATTAAGTATTCTCCAAGAAAAAGAAAAAATCTAAGTCAGGGGCATCTGGAAACCTGGGTAAAATATTCAAAAAAATTCACACAGGTAACATTGCCAAAAGAGTTACCAAAGAAGAAATCAGTCTTATAAAAGTGCTACTAATATCTGTGTATACATGATTTCTTTATAATTTTTCGTATTATATATTCTATTTTCTAAGTAAATTTAATACATTTTACCAGCTGAAATATTTATCTTAGCTACAAATGATGCACAAGATGAAAAAAATTAAAATTCTAAGTTAAATATTTTAATTAAATGTAAAGAAACAGTAATTACACAGTAAGACATATTTTCCCTTTAGCTCTTTCTGCAAAGAATTTGAGACCTTATTACCTCTCCATTCCTGCTCTGTTTTTCTGTTCTCCTGATCTTAATAAAAAATTTGCATAGAGGCTCACATATTCAGTAAAATGGCTGCAGTAACAGGCTAAACTCCTACATTATTTTAATCACTCTAAGACAAAGTTGGTAAACTCTACCTGAAGGTCTCACATAACTTTATTCAGGTGTTCAATATCTTCAATACATTACATAAACTGAGGCACACATAGGGAAACAGATCTAACTCTTTATCAGCCAAGAGACTTTTAACACAACTGGAAACAAAACATATATTTTTCTAGCTTTCTTTCTGCTTAGACAAAAATAAAACAAAGGAGAGTTCTCCTAAGACCTCATTTAATTGTTCAATGGAAAAACTGCATCAAGAAACAGCTTGAGTAGAGATGAACAGACATACCTCATGGTGTACAAGAGTGTCCCATCGTCCTGGATTCGTAGAAGCTTGTTTGGCATTGTCATGTTATGAGCCACTGACTTCTTCCCATTGTGAAAAAATGTATCTGGTGTCCAGATTTTGCTGGCCATTAGGTTGTTCAGTCGAAGAATGTTCATTGGGCCTTTAAACTTTAATCTCTCATCCTTCCATCGCTGACGGAAGAACACATCTATCGTGTACTCCTGTCATGGAATAAATATATGCTTTTTTTGACACAATGGAACACTAATCTGCTTGCTGAGAACAAAAATAGAAAAGCTTTGTTTGCACAATTCCCTTGGCAAAATTGTCAAGGGAGAACAATCACCATAAAAAATTGTGTAGTACTGAGAATAATAAGCAGGAAGTCACTGTATTAAGGGTATGACATTCTTCTTCATGATTGCTAGGTGTTGCTTTTATATTGAACTCTTTCCATATTTATATCTGTATCTGATATAAAAGTACCTGTGACCTGGGTAACTAGAGTAAACACAGTAAGGAAGGAAAGCAAGGAAAAAATACACAAGATTAAACAGTTCTTTCACTATCTCCTGTAGAGTAACCCAACATTTCAAGAGCATGGAGAACGGCTGAGCCTGGAAATAAGGAAACAAGGCAACCCATAGGGGTACAGCAGAATAAGCAGAAGGATACAAGATTTTTCCAAGGAGGAATGTAAGGCTCTGTAGTGGTGTGGATTTCATGAACAAAAGAACATAGGCAGGAAACAGCAGCTGCTGATTAACAGGTGACACACACTGCCTGGTGAACCTTACTCTGATGCCTAGTCTTGGGAAGGCAGTACAGTGGGGGAAAAAGGATCCAAGCAAAACCAGACGGATGACCTAGACCAGATGCCTGTGTCAACAGGCTGGGTATTCCATCTGCTGGGTTTTGTTGCTATTTAGTTGGTTGCTGGCTGGGGTTAAAACCACAACACAAACAAACAAAAAACTGATTAAACATTGATAATGTGAATTCATCAGCTATCTTCAAAATGGAGCTGTAAATGGATTTAGTGTTTTGCTTCTGTCAGCACAGCATATAAATTGGATGTGGGAGAGCTTAAAAACTATGTTGGAAGTAAACTGTATTTGGTGTATTGGCAAATGCTACCTTGGTGCAATTTTGTTTTGTTAGACAGGTACAAAATGTGGTCTCATGACTTCAAAATATTAGTATGCTGCAACAGTCTGTACTACTGCAATTGCTCTGCATAGACCATTTTCAAGTAAATTACTTTGAATGGACAAGACCTGATAAAATTTAACCAATATAAAATTTTCAAGGGATTTCAATATAAAAGTGACTTCAAGGAACTTATCAGCCTCTATCATTTTCTGCTGGCTCCCTTGTGTGCTGATTAACAAGGTTTAAGGTTCTTCTCCATCAATCATACAGCAATACAAAAGGAGTGCTGACTAGACAGAGACAAGTGACAGCTCTTCAGCTCCTTTGGTCTGCGAGCCAAAGAGCTGTGAGGACCTTTTCCAGGTCAGGGCCAGAGGCTAAGGAGAGAATGAGGAATAAAGGAAAGAGAATTTTGTTACATGGAGGAGCCCGACGGACAGAAGAGAAAGCGGTTCTCTTTATGAATGGTAACAAATGCAAAGAGATATTTTGGAAATTATGGATACTTACAAACTAATCTGACAAAACCCAGAAACTCAGTTTTTAGCTATACCAAGAGGTCGTACATTAATGTAATAAACTTTTGCATTTTTCTAATTAAAATTTTAAATTTTAACAATAATCTTAAATAAAACTAACATGACAGTACACTGAACTGTACTTTCTTCAATCCCATTTTCTATTTTCTCTAATAATATTTTAGTAAGTATATCTCTTTAATACAAAACTATGAACCTCAAAAACATGCATTTCTTTGGTATTATACTTGATTTTATTCAGTACCTCATCACTGCTAGAGACACTGCCTCATAACAAGTGGTTTGCTCACTTCTCTATGATAGATCACATTTAATTGTTCTTTTTTATTTGCTGATTTATATGTTGTTTTATTTTCTACATATCATGTGACTTAAAATCCCATTTACAAATAAAAAGTTACCTATCAGTTCAGTTACAGACCAGGGAAAGTGACAAAATGCATAATACCATGGAGGATCAGGAGCAGCAGGCGAGTCTATGAAATATGGATAGAAATACCAGGTAATTAAAGGAAAATTGCCCTAAGAGCCTCCTTGTAGTTTTCATCTGAGGGGCACTACCAATAAATCATTTTTATGGTAAGACTGATGTTTGAGGTATGAAGAATTGGGAAGAAGAGCCTGAAGGGATTAAGACTGAAATTCCACTGAAATTCAGCAGGAGTGAGTGATATGTCCTACAGGTTCTTTTGACAAACACCTCTGCACATAAATGATTAGAATATAAATTTGAACCTTTTTGCAATGTTTCCATCAATAAAGAACTTCAAAGATCCCACTTTTTCACTGTCTTCTAACATACATAAAAAGAATTACAAGAGAAATAAAATAGGAAAAAAGGCATGAAATGCCACTAAATCAAAACAGCAACATTTCACAAAAACACGCATCTGCTGCATGGCAACAGCTAAGGAAGTAGAATGAGCAGGAAAGAATGAGAAGCAGAATGAGCTGCAGCCTGGAGAGATCCTACTGGGAAATCTCTGACTGGTGCCCAGGTAATGGTTAATGGCTCAAACACTGTTAAGGTAATCACCAAAGGACTTTGCCCACTATGAAAAACTGTATAAAGAAGCAACTGCTCGTCTGAGACCACAGAACTCCCCTCTCTCCCTCTCCGGCCTCTGTGAATTCCTGGAAATTTGGACAGTAAGTTAAGCTTCCAGATGGGAACTTGAGATAAGATAAAGGTGCTACTATTGTCCCATTATCTCAGGTCTAAGGAGAGGTAAACAAGGCTGAAGCAATGTATCCAAGAAAAGCCAGCTCCACAGATGTGCTGAAAATAAGCCCTGGCTGGGTCTGGCAGGGGGGGAGCATAGCTGCCAGGCTCACTTCTGGGGTCTTCCACCTGAGGACTGCACATGATCCACAGCTGAAACACATCCATGGTATTGCCAAAGACAGTGTAAAGCTCCCCTCCCCATGAGAGGTGTCTAGGCACTCCCACTGTAAACCTGAACATATATTAATCCATTGTTAATACTAACATACATATTAACTCTATGTCTCATGGGATTCCCTCACCCCTGGCAGATCAAAACTGTGACTGTCACTTTGACTAACAATTTTCTTCAGTGTTATTTTTATGCTTTTGTACTGCTATATTGCTATTAATACTAATAACCAAAATGGCTACATACCCCCTTTCCACTGCAACCAAAATTTCCCAAAATTAACTCATATATAAAGATAAGATAAAGATAAAGATAAAGAGTAATATGTACATATATAAACATGTATGTATGTATGTATGTATGTATGTATGTATGTATTTATAAACACTGGTCATTCCGTGCTGTTTCACCCTTATCTGCTCCCAGGATCAATTAATAAGAGCTTGAGTTACCCTCACCTTTAGGGTGGTTTGTAACACCACCCAGACTGTGCTGGAGATCTTTATTTCAGAACATCTCATTTAGAAAATGGAAACGGGGAATCAACCAAGGTTTGGTGTGAATGATGAGAAACACCTTCTGTTTCCATTTCCCACAATAGTAGTAAAATCTTACATAGTTCTTAAATAACTTATCTTTCTACAGACTTCTTTGCATTTTTTTTCAATGGAAGTATTAGGATCTCAATTTTGTTACTGTCCATTTAAAATTATAATTTAAAGCAAAATACAAGTCCTGCCTTTGCATCCCAGTGCTATATTCACTGACCCTGTGTTCCTTTCTGTGCCAAATCTATTCTTATGATCATGAATATCCCTACTGATGTTTACCATATTAAAAAATGAAAAAAACAGGAAGGTATTGAAGTACATTGGATATAATCAATATGATAAAAAGCCAGCTACAAAAAGCTGCTACATAAAGATTTTGAGACTAATTCCTGTTCAATATATTCGATATATACCACCTTCTGGTAAATGCTGTGTAATGTTTACTTTTCAGTCAAGACTAATGTCCATGACAAAGGCAAATCTGGACTCCAGAAAAACAGATTAATACCTGATACTAATTTCATTCATTCTGCAAATATTCTCCTGTGAAAAACACCTGTTCTCTCTGGACAAGACATAACCACCCTGTAGTATATAGTGCAGTATCTTCATAAAATCACAGGAGCATACTTCCAGGTCTTCAGAGGACTCCTGTGATAATTTCTAGACAGGAAAGTGCTTCCTACATATGTTGTGTCTAAAATGGTGCTTATACAGCCAGACTCTAATGCAGTACAATGAAACATAATCTTGAAAATATGTGTTATATTACCTTACATGAAATTTTAGGTAGAGGTAATGAGATTCTTGCTACAGTTTTAAGAAGCACTTGACCCTCTGCCAGTTCAATGAAGAATAAAACGGCAAGGAAATTTTATTCCTCTTTTAATATGCAGTTGTTGTGCATTACACTACGCACCATAAAAAAGATGTTAATATATCTGGCAGACGCTTTAATTAATTGAGTACAAGCAATCCCTCCCCACTACATGACAGGTTTTTTTGGTTTTGGTTTTTGGTTTGGTTTTTTTTGTTTGTTTTGTTTTGTTTTTTGGTTGGTTTTTTGGTTTTTGGTTTTGTTGGTTTTTTGGTTTTTTTTGGTTTTTTTTGGTTTTTTTTTTTTGGTTTTTTTTTCCCCTAAGGCGAGATTTGTATGGAAAAAAGTTCAAACAACAAAAAATGTACTCTCATCCCTTCCAATAATGGTTGGCAGATTTTGGCAGTTTTAGCATCTGGAGTAAAGATGGACATGTTCCAAATATCTCAAAAATTGTAGGTGTCCATTAGCAAGCAGTATTGTCCTGAAGCAGATGGAACACTTTATTAATTACTTTCTGGAACACAGCATTTTGTTTAATGAATAGCTCAAGCCAGAGTTCCTCATTCCCTACTTGTAAAGATTTTTCTGAGTCATTTATCTAAAGTGTATTTGTCTTTTTCCTGAACACTCTTAAAGCCTTTAATGCACATATATATATAACCACAAAAACAAATTTTAAATACTGTAAAATATAAAACTTTTAAAACACAAATTAAAAAAATTAAAAGCAAACAAAAGGGAAATGGCACATACAGCTTTTCA